TAGGCTGTAGTTTGGTGCTGTAGTAGCTGTTTTAAGATAATGCCTAGTAAATGAAATTATGTTTTACAGGGGAAAAAAGCCAACTGAAAACTGAGTTTTTGAAAAACGGGGATCTTAGTGCAGATACACAAGAACAAACAGATTTTCACTAAATGAAATGCAAATATGAATGTACATCTATTCATGACAATTTCATCATCATGTAATAAAGAGGTGAAATATAATTAAAGCTGTGTTTATATAGTTTTCAATGGAACTTTGTGTAAGCAGTTTCCAATCATTGGTGAATAGATTTAGATAAAATAAAAGCACCAGTGATAATTGATATTCTGACTATTCACCTAAACGCAAGAGTGCCTTTATTCACTCAGTAATTACTAAAATGCCTGTATGACATTGAATTAGAAAGAAAATACTATTTATATGTACATGATGCAGTTTTTAAATACACAATCACATATTTTTTCTCCCACAGGTACCCTGCCTCATTTAGTGCATAGGACGGATTCACAAGGAGGCCAAGTTAAGGTTGCATGGGTAATCTTGTAACTATCTAACAGTGCTTGGCTTTATAACTTAAATAACTGTCTTTTAACTTTTTTTTTTTATTGTAATGTGCTGGAGTGTCACTTCAATTCTGGGGAGGTTATCACATCCAAAGATACTGTAACTTTTAAATGAGTGCTTTGAAGACTTACAGATTAAATATAGCAATTCAGAAAATTAAACAAGAACTTTTCAGCTTCTTAATGACTACATTTGAGACTGGTATAAATTCTAGGGTAGTAGGTTTTATTGAGTTTTTTTAAATACAAAAGGTGATTCCCTTGTATTCATTTTGCAGTTATTTTAAATGTGTATTTGAACAACAGCTTGGCTGCTGTACTTCTTCCATCTAGTCCTGCAGTAAATTTATTGTACTATTTGGGGGACAGAGTGGATAAAAACTAGGGTGAGATTCTCACTCCAATTCCATCCCCTGTATGTCAGGTAAGGGGGCAAGAGCAACTTAAACAGTTCTTTAGACCCCCAAATGTGGCCAAGAGAATTCTCCCCGCACAGGAACTGAGGAAGACAGCTGTGAGGCAGCCATCTAAGAATCCCTTGCAAGCCCTGGCAAAGGAGATGTGAAAGGTGCATCAAAGGTGGTCCTGCAGTTAGGATTCCAGACAGCATTGCAACCTACAGGGCAGTCTCAGAAGGATGTCATCATTTAGCTCCACAGGGATGTCTAAATTATGGTGGGTCACTTAGCCTCCAGAGAAGTCCAGAATTGGGAGAGCATAAAAAGCCATGTTAGATCCTCTTCCCCATGGACTGAGTTCTGTGCTGCACCGCTGATCTTTCTTGAGTTAACCAATGAATATGTATTTATATTGAGACATTTGATATGCTTTATCAGTGCAATCAAGCTTTTCCTGTAGAAGTGCATGGATTGGAGAGACTCCTTCTCAAATATGGTGGTTAAGATGATGGACCCAAATTTCCTCAACAATCACTTTGTTCTACTGTAGCTTTCCCACAGTAAATGAAAAGCGCTCAAATTTGGAAATAGAAAGAGTCAGAGATCCTTGTGTGTTTAATTTAGATTTTGTACATCCCTCAGATACTATGACGTCCAATGTGGCAAGGGCAAGTTGTTTGAAAAAGGAAAGAAGAAGAGGCAGATTGACGTATGATAAACCTCCCACTATGTGTGGGGTTAAAAATACTGTTTTAAAAGTCTCTTACAACCTTTCATGTGTTAATGGATATTGGTGTTCATTACTAAAGAACACACATGATTATGGTACTTCACAAACTCATAGAAATGTCTGGTAGGGACCTTGAGAAGTCATCAAGTCCATCCCCGTGTGTCAGGAACTCATCTGGCTCTGGGCATGGTTGTGTGGCAACCAAATGAGCTTGGCTGGGCCAAACAAACTCTCATTAAATGAGTGTGCTCCCTGACTGGACAGAGGGGCCAAGAGATCAGATCATCCTTTAAGCCTTTCAGCAACAGCAGCACAGTGGCTGCTCAATGTGTTACATACTCACAGCTGCACCAAACCTGCTTCCTATACCAGCCCTTGCTCCAACTGATGTCTGCCCCCACTACAGCCTTAGTCCCTTCCTTCTTCAGAACTCCTGGCTCCGACCACTGGCTGGTCTATTGACCATGACTCCAGCTCTGCCCTTTGGTTCTGTTCTGACTTCCAACTCCGACCATTATCTTGTCCCCTGATTTTGCCCCAGCCATTTGGCCAGATTCCTGTTCTGACCACTAAGTCACACCACCTACACAGTGGTCTGACACCCTGCACTGAGGAAGGACCAAGTAAACCTAGACCATTCTTGACACATGTTTGTCCAAGCTGTTCTTAAAACCTCCAGTGATGGGGATTCTACAACCTCTCTTGGAAGCCTATTCCAGAGCTTAACTACCCTTGTAGTTAGAAAGTTTTTCCTAATACCGAACCAAAGATCTCCTTTGCTGCAGATTACGCCAATTACTTATTGTCCAACCTATACGGGACATGGAGAATAATTGATAATCTTCTTTATAATACATATCACTTAGTAAGAAACAACATCTTTAACATCTCTGTAAATTTTTCTGGAATGGGAGCTACACATTAAGCATTTGCTTTAGGTCTTTAAAAAAATAGGGAAAATATGTATATACAAATATTTTCCAGGTATCACCATTCCATGTGAAGGGTAAATAAATATTACTGATTATAGGAAAGCTATATGCTAGCAATACTAAGCTTATTCTAGATCATGCTATGCAATAACTAAACAGAAAAAGTAACCCTCACTTACCCAATGGATTATTTTAAAATATTCTATTCAAGAGCAGGCTGCATATTTAAGAAATTAAAGCCTATTAAAATTAACTTTTTGCAATGCAAACATTTATTGTACTCTTACACACGACGAACATAAGAAACGCACAAAATTTATGATGAAATTTGTAAAATGGTTAGTTGGAGGAAAATTTAATTAAACTGAAGTGGACTTGCTTAAAAGCACTCCCTCTCTCTTCCCTCTCATCCTTTATTTACTGAAGGTTTTTCAGACATAGTGATTAGTGACTGTGTGTGCAACATGACATCTTAAAAGGAAGCTGATTTTCAGAGTGCTGAGTACATGCCCTTGAAAAACCAGGCCCTTCTAAGGTGACTAGTGATTCTGGGGGCCCAACTTGTCACCTTTTAAAATCTTGGCCTAATGGAAGACATAGGGAGAAATGAAAAGTAATAATTCTACAATTTTCAGTTAAAAAAATATAATCTCTTCACCCCACATGCTTAACAAATACAGTTAAAGGTGTAATATTTAACCCACAAAAAGATGTCTTCAAATATCAGATGCAGACAAATCTGGAGAAGCCAAAATGAAATATTGCATCATTCAACTTAATTCCCCAGCGCAATGACAACTCTGCTGAACAAAATAAAGGTGAAATTGATTGTATATTTTGTGTTTCATCTATGTTCAATGGTAACACAGAATGACAAAACAGTGATTTACAAGAGTGATGCAAATTCGAAGGGCCAAAATGTTCTAAAGGACAGCCTCCTTTACTATTGGTGCAATCTGCAACTGCAGAAACTGCTTTCACCTCAACCCAAATGCTGTTGGGCTCTGTCCTGCCATCAGGAAGAAAAGGGCTTGTGGCTCCTTTAAGGTTCCCCCTCCCCGCACTGATTACAAGGTGAGTGCAAAGAGGACAGTTACCTGAGCCAAGGGCAATTGGATGAGGCTGACTCAGGTGGGATGCCAACCGTCTTGTGTATTGTAGGAGGGAAGGTATTTATAGACAGTTCTCTCCAGACCAGGGGTTCTCAAAATGGGAGTTGGGACCCCTCAGGGGTTGTGAGGTTATTACATGGGGGGTCGCGAGCTGTCAGTCTCCACCCTAAACCCCGCTTTGCCTCCTGCATTTATAATGGTGTTAAATATATTAAAAAGAGTTTTTAATTTATAAAGAGGGTTGCACTCATAGGCTTGCTATGTGAAAGGGATCACCAGTACAAAAGTTTGAGAACCACTGCTCCAGACAAAATCTCTCTCACCATGGACCAGGAGCACTCACCCTCCCCACCCATGGGATCAAAGTAGGTCTGAGTTTTATGATCGGCTGTGGGCACTGCACTAGTTACCTTTTTCTTTGGGACTAAGAAGGAATTTTTCACTCACTGGCAGATTGGCTGGGGCAGGATGTTTTTTCGCCTTCCTTACAGCAGGTCAGGGCCCCGGTGGGGTATTTAATGAGGGTAGGTCAAGTTCTTGCAACTTATCAGCTATCCAGTGCTGGTCCTAATTCCATAAGGGGTACAGTTCCCTGATAAATTGGAGTTGGAAATCTGGGGGAAGGGAGTTGGCATTCCTAACGTCTAGTACAGCAATGAGACGACCCCCCCCACCTCCTTTCACCCTCATAGAGGGGACGGTGGTGGGGTGCAAGCAATGGGTGGGTTGGGTAGAGCTGACGATAGCCCTTCCAAATAGGTGAGAATGATTAAGGAAAGAATGAATACCTACACTATATGATTTATTGATGACTATTTCCCAGATGAGTTAATAAAATCGTGACCTAATTAACCCACATCCCTTGAAACTTGTCTTTCTTCCTGCCGGGTTAGGATAATGCACCTACATTTAACTGCAGGAGCAAATCTGAGTACCTGTGCCTCAAACCACCTGATTGTGGGTGCAGACCAGGTAGTTAGAGATGCAAGTACTTCTATTTCACCTGTTATTATTTGCTGATGTACACTGTACCCACAAAAAAAAAAAAAGGTAGTCTGGGAATCAGTCCTTTGAGAAGTACCCTGATTAAAGTCAGACGGAATCAATTATAAACCATTGTTTTTTCATGTTATTATTCTTTGAACATTATTTCATATATCACATTGCAAAGTACTCAGTTAAGGATTTTCTGAAGCACTGAAGATGAAATTTTACTACACAAAAGTAAAGGGCAATTTCAGAACAACGTTGACTCAATTTACCTTTATCCTGTCCATGTATGCTTCCATTTTTAACTGCTCCACAGCTTTTCTTGCTTGAGATATATTGGTTGTGTTGTTATTAGACATGATTTCCTTCATTCTGTTTTCCCTAGAACAGTCAAAGTTAAAGCATTTGAAAAGTTGCTTTTCTAAACAGATTCTTACAGGCTTGGTTAAGAGTACACTTATTTAATGTAATATAGCGATCAGACTACAGTTAACTCTCCCTAGACTAACAAAATAAAATTAAATGTAAAGTTACCATTGCTAGACTGCATAACTACAAATGTAAATCACATAAGGCGAAGAAATAAGTACCGGTAGTTGAACAACAATGCATCTATACTCAATTCTCCTGTTCATCATCTACCATCCTCCCCACATATTTGCACCCTCAACCACAACTCTGAGCATAACTAATATGCCAAATCACAAATGCAAGTTTCTACACAGAAACTACTTAATTAAGATTGCCAACACAGATCATCCACTCACATAATACAAATACATCTCAACCACCATTTGCAATTTTATTCCAGGCCTCACTTACACACACTAATACAAAGCCACATACAGATCTGTTGTACATATGATTTATGAAAGCCACACCATCCTGATATCAGTCATCAAAACAGATGACCTTTTTAAGCAATAAGATAGTAATAGTTAAATCTGCTCACAGGTTGTTCAGGAAGAGTGCTAGAGATAAGAATAATGGAAGAGAAGCAATCAAGGCTGTAAAGGGGAATTAAGGAGTTGAACATAGATGGAGCGTTCAACTAGATACGTTCATGCAGTATAGGTTCATCAGTGACCATTAGACAGGATGGGCAGGGATGGTGTCCCTAGTCTCTGGCCTTGGCTACACTGGCGCTGTACAGCGCTGCAACTTGCTGCGCTCAGGGGTGTGAAAACGCCCCCCCCCCGAGCACAGCGAGTGCAGCGCTGTAAAGCGCCAGTGTAATCAGCGCCTGCAGCGCTGCACGCTCGCTCGCAGCGCTGCAAGCTATTCCCCATGGCAGCACTGTGAATTCTTAAGTGTAGCCAAGGCCTCTGCTTGCCAGAAGCTGGGAATGGGTGACAGGGGATGGATCACTTGATGATTACCTGTTCTGTTCATTCCCTCTGTGACACCTGGCAGTGGCCACTGTTGGAAGACAGGATACTGGGCTAGATGGACCTTTGGTCTGACCCAGTATGGCCGTTCTTATGTTCAAAGACTTAACTGCTTATTTCCCTGTTTTTTATGGTTTCCATGATTGGGATATGTACTTTACCAGCCTAAACACAAAACAAACCCCCATTAAGTGTAGGAATTACCCTGCTTTTAAAAACAAATCGTTATGTATCAACTTTGATATCTGTCTGCAAACTATGAAGGTAAAAAAGATAAGATGGGTGAGGTAGAATCTTTTATTGGACCAACTTCTGTTGTTGAGAGAGAGAAGCTTTGAGTTTATACAGAGCTCTTCTTCAGGTCAGGGAAATGTACTCAGTGTCACAGCCAAAGACAAGGTGAAATAGATTGTTCAGCATAAAGAGTTAACACATGTTGCAAGAAACCATTCAAGGTGAAGTGGGTAGTTAACACCTCTGCAATCACAGGAGAGAGGGTTAATAGGTTACAGATTGTTGTAATAAGCCATAAATCCACTGTTTTTGGGTCTGTGATTTTTAGTGTCTAGCAACGCTACCAATTTAAGCTTCCAGGCCCATCTTTTGAAGGTGTTGTGCAGGTTTCCTCTGAGGATGACAGAAGTCACATATGGAGTGATCGTTCAGTGAAGTGTTCATCAACAGGTGATATGGTGTTTTTATCTTTTATCATTTTTCTGTCAGTGTAGTGACTGTTTCGTTTCACCCACATAGTTGTTCTTGTGGCATTTAGTGTACTCAGTACTGGGTTTACCATGGCTCCGGTGACACCGTGGGTCCAGGCCCACACTTGGAAGGGGCCCACATAGGGTTAATCCAGCCTGGGCCACAGCCCAGCAATGTGAAGAATCAGCAGCTTCCCTGTGCCAGCTGAAACACTCAGCAGCCTGGGAAGCGCAGTGCGCAGGTGCAAAAGGGAGGGGTGTTGCAGGGTGTGCTGGGAGTTGTAGCTTGCACGCCACTGTGTTCCGCTGGGACCTGCGCTGCCAGCTGCACTACTAGTCCCAGAATGCCCCGCACCATGCTACCAACCACCCCAACTGAAGTGGTCTGAGCGGACCAAAAAGAAACCCCAAGCAAGGAAATGGTCTGGTGCAGGGAGAGGGTTCCCTGCATTAATCCCGCTGAGCTCCTGGCTCCCCCCACCCCTCTCCTGGAGTGGTGGGGAGCTGGGGGCAGCCCCCCAGTGAACATGATGCCCGGGGGCTCCTGGGCACTGTCTCGATCCTGCACTTCACGGGGGGGGGGGGGGGAGAAGGAGGGTTGGTTATCTGTGGTCCCTGGGAGCAGGGCAGGTGGTGACAGTGGGGCTTGTCAGTGCTGGCTGCCGCGCCCCCTGCCAGTGGAAATGCCCAGAAACTGCCCCCCTGCACTCTGGGGAGGGGAGGGGGTGCAGCCCAGTTTGGGGGGAAAGGGGCAGTTGTGGGGCAAGTCAGGGTGCGATGGGGGAGCTGGTGGTGACTCCATGTGGGGGGTGTAGGAGAAGCAGGGTGTTACGGTGGTGGTTGGCAGAGGGAGGGAGGGGAGTGTCTGTGTTGAAGGTGGGGGTTTACTCAGTGTGTGGGGGGGGTAGTAGAAGAGAGAGAGGTGACAGCCCTGGGGTGAAAGTGTGTGTGAGGGGGTGGGCAGTAGCAGGGACATTGAGGAGAGCATTTGTTAGGGGGTTAGTTGTGTGGGATGGGGACAGTAGGAGGGACCAGGGGGAGAGCCCAGGTGTGAAGATTGGGGTAGGAGTTTGAGGCTGGATTGTGGTAGCCTTTGTGGTAAAGTGTGTGTTTTCTCTCAGTGTTTTTCCCTGCAAAAGATGAGCACCAGCAATTTTCCTCCCCACATTCTGCCCCAAAGTTTTGTAAACATTATTGTACCAAAGTAGAAAATGCAGCTTTAAAAAATGTATTTACAAAACACAACTTTGGGTGGAGGAGGAGGTGGTTGTGGTGGGGAGATGCAGGTGTGACACCACTGACAGCTACATCCAGGCTTAATATGGCTCATCAGTGTGCTAATTAAACATTGTGTTCCGGGCCCCAAGCAGGCCATGAGCGTTAAAACTAACAAACAACCCCCCCTCCCACACAAACCAAATTCAATGGTATTCTGGGTACATTGATGTTAGCCCAGTTTGTTCTCTATAGGTGGAGTGGAGGTCTCAGTGTGGCTTCAACTATCTTATTTTGTTTTTGAATAAATGTTTTCATCCCCATCCCGGCAATACCACATTTACTATGGCATCAATGGTGCTGTCACGCTGGGCCCACACTTGGAAGGGGCCCATCACAACCACATGGGGGCCCTCAAATATGTTTGGCACGGGGCTCACAAAAAGTTAATCCGGCCCTGAGTGTACTGGATGAGTTACACGACATATTGTGATGTGAATTTGTAGGACACATGGGTCTTGAAAGATGTGTTGGGGGTGAGGTATTGATCACAGTAGCAGCGGAGGTATGTCTGCAGGTTTTGCATCTGTTGTTCTGGCATGGTCTAGTGCTGTTTTGCGTTGGTGGGTCCTGGTCTGTGGGGAGCTTGCTTCTCATGATGAGCTTGATGAGGTTTGGGGGTTGTTAAAAGGTCATATGAGGGGGGTTTGGGAAAGATTTCTTTCAGAATGGGGTCTCCATTGAGTAGGGGTTGTAATTCTTTAATGATACCCCAGATGGGTTCCACATCTTAACACTTAAGACTGTATAAACCAAATAAGGAAACTCCCCCAGAGAAGTAATTGCATCATAGATCAGGCCACCCAAATACTCCAAGAGAACCTTATAGGCCTAGCTTGACATAAGGAACTTGCCTCATTTCTTAGTGAGCATAATTGGGAAACAGGGCCGGCTCCAGGCACCCAAGCTGGTGCTTGGGGCGGCACCTGGAGGGGGCGGCGGCGCAGCGCTCCAGCCGCCGGGGAGAGCGGGGCCACAGCAGGGCTCGCCGCCCTCCCCCCAGGGCTCCGGCCGCCCTCCCCCCGGAGCCCTGCCCCCGGGGGGAGAGCGGAGCCCCCGCCGGGGCTCGCTGCCCTCCCCCCGGGGCTCCGGCCGCCCCCCCCCCCCCATGGGGGGGGGGCGGCCGGAGGCTTTTTCGCCTGGGGCGGCGAAAAAGCCAGAGCCGGCCCTGTTGGGAAAGTGAACGAAAGGTTAAGTTGTAAATAGGGACTTGACAAACAGTGCGCGGGATGTTTGTGCAAGCAAAAATAAGCAGCCACATCTTGATGGTAGGGACTATGGACAAGATTACATTCCAGGTTTAAGATCAGTTTCCATGACACAGTACATGGACAGAGCATGCTGTACAGGGATTGGTTCTTGCAAAGTAATCAATCCAATAATGAGCAAATTAATGTATAGCAAATGCAATGTAATGTGTAAATGTATATAAAGGAAGAGGTTGTCTGTGTAATTTTGGATGAGTGGTACACCCTATATCTTTTCCCCTAACGCTTGAGTCTAATCAACTCAGTGTAGCTTTGCTGTATGCCATTGCCAAATAAAGGAACCTGAGTGATGAAATCCAGAGTCAAACTGAGTTTTTGGATCCCAGAGAACTGGATGAAGTGTTCTCTTAGAACTGGACATGGTGCTTTAGCTAAGCCAAGTGGAAAAGGTCTCTGAGGGAATCTCAACAAACCTGCTTCAATATGAAAAAAACCCCAACTGTCCTACCACATGCTCCTAGGTGTCACCTATCACCCCCCACTGGTGGTGTGCTTTTTGGGGCTGAAGTGGGTAGAGTGGAAGCAGGGCTATATGGGAGGTAAGCAAGGGAAAACAGTGGGTCCTGAGGAGGAGCTCTGGTCCAACAAGGCAAGGGGAACTCGACCACTACACCGAACTCTGGCTCACCCTTAGTGCCCCGCCTTCCCAAACAGGTAGCCTGTGACTTTAGGGAGCCAAGTGTCTCTGTGCCAAAGAACTGGAAGTTGAAAGGTTACCCTGAAACTGCTGCTCCCACATGTACTGA